TTAACAAAGAAAAAGATAAAAAAGGAAAAGGCAAAGCATGATGCACTTTGTTTCCCACTAATCGTCGGCACAAATAGACAAAATCAGTACATCAATTTCCAGAAAAGCAAATATTCTATCTACCAACAAATTAGCTACCGACAAAATAAAGACAAGGATGTTGTATTACAATCATACCAACTCAACTTGAGGATAAGGACGATCGACTCCAACCATTCAGGACACGCCACCTATCTCAACCTTATCTTATCATTTTCTTTTCTATATTATAAAAAGGAAGGACCTCACCCTTGTTGAGGCAGAGTTTTGCAAGTTTGTTTTATTTTTAGTCGTTTTAAAGTATCTGTGCTTTCCCTCTCTCATCTTGTAAACATTTCTCCAATATATAAATTAAGTGTTTAAGAATTAAACTACTTTGAAGATTGTGATTGTAAATATTCCTTTCTTTAATGTATGCCCTTTGTAGATATACTTGTTGATTTATTAAATGTTTTAGAATTTTATATTACAAGTCATATTAATTATTTAAGTTTTCTCCAAGATCCATATCTTCAGCTGTGGGCTACACAACAGGTAGAATTTTGTGAACAACAAATACACAGAATCCGACAGCAAATACAGGAACATATCTATTTGTGGGCGGCCGCCGCCAGGCCTTCACCCCAATAGTAAATCATGAGGCCATATATGTCATAATTTGCTTATTATATACTTGTATTACGTGTATTTATATTCCCGGGTTTGTGCCAAATAAGGGTAGAATGGAATTAGGAGAAGTGGGACGTCACCCAAGTCGCGTTTTGGTTAGTCCACCAGCAGGGATTGCATGTAGGACCCTTACACCTTATAAACAGTTGACAGACGTGCTTAGCCTAGCCCCACACACATGATTGGTTTCTCTCAAACACATTTTTAAAATTGTTTCTCTAAAAAAAATTGCTTTTGGACCTAAACTATTATCTTTTGGGTCCGGACTATCTCCATCGGGGACAGTCCAGTACAATTCGGCCAATTGGTCCCACTTTTGGGTCCCTTTTTGATAATTAGAATCGTTCACATTTTAGAATTTATTGAGTACATTAATTTTGTAAAAAATCATGTTGATCGGATAACGGATACTATGTATTCGGATCACTTTTGTCTGAAAAAAATGAACGGTCAAAAAATTAATAGTTCATAAAAAAGTGATCTAAATACATAGTATCCATTATCCGATCGACTTGATTTTTTACAGGGATAATGTGCTCAGCAAATTCTAAAATGTGAATGGTTCGGATTATTGAAAAGGAGTCCAACAGTGGGCCCAATGAACCGGACTGGACCCTTCAATCCAGATGATGGACTAGAGGCAAGCCCCAGCCTTATCTTTTTGTTTAGTATCCCTTATTATCTAAATTCCTATTATCAGGACTTTAAAATAAATTTTCCTTTATTTATTTATTTTTTTTAAATTTTCCTAACAAAGCAATTGTTAGTAAGGATGTGCATAGGTTGATTTGGGTTGGCTTTAATACTGTGCTTGGTTGGGAGATTTGAGGAGGAATTTGAAAAGAAAAATAGAAAATATAGGTAAAACGTGAATAAAATATACCTACATTTCACCTAATTTCATACATTTTTTTTCTTTTCCTTTCTAAATCTCTCCATAAATCTCCCAACCAAGCACAGCGTAAGAGAAAATCATTAACCAATTCATCCATGACTAATTGAGAAATTTTCAATCTATCTATTCTCGTGCCTATATGTATCATTTTCAAACAAAAAAAATGATGATATTATTTTTTCTCCTAGCCAAGGAAAAAGAAGATACACATATGTATTGGGAACATTTAATTTTGTAGGTTATAAACCCTATAGCCTCAGTGTTCTCATAGACACAGAAGCTACAATCAGCTCATGTAAATGGAATGTCATACCAAAAGAAAATGGACATAATGAAACATCCAATTTGGGTAATTGGAAATGATGGGAACCAAATTCCATACAATTCAAGGCTAAAAATATAGCTACTTGGTTAAATGATAGCAAGTTCATTATACCAAAAATTCTATGTTTTCCTTATATGCATGGAGATTTCCTTCTTGGAAATAGTTTTATATATAAATATCTTCCAATGTAAATACAGGAAAAAGCCATTTCACTAAGCATAAACAATATCTTAATTCATATTCCATTGTTAGAACAACGTAAATATATTTGTGATGAAGAGTTTGCGACCGTTCCGCATGGTGATTTAACTCCCATCATTAAAACTATTGATGAATCACGTTGGATTTATAGTTAGAAGTTTTACCAGTACCAATCAGGGAAGCATATAATGAATGGCATGTGGCATATTCCCATTTACCAGTAAACAAGGATATTTCTATCACAAAACCTTAGTCCACTTTACAAACCGTTTTGGTAGTCCATGGATTTGGAAATGGGACTTTCAGTGTGAATATCAGAATAAGATCTCACGTCTCAAAAGGGTTTTTTTTGTGAGATGGAGGGATAAGAGTATGAACCCTACTTTACCAAAAACTGTCCAGAAAATCAAGGCACATTATCAAGCTTGTTGGGATGCTATTCCAAAAACGATTCCTAGTCAACCATTTGCTCAAAATCTGCTTTTACAAATTCAAACATAATTAAGACAAAAATATCCTAATTTGTCAGAAACATAATTAATTATTAAAAGTATGGATTTTATGAAGGAATAATTTCTCCAAACTATTTCCAGTGATGATACCTCCATGAAATCTGTTACTAGCAGCCAAGATCATGAAGATCCTGACCATGATGAAAATGAGTTTGCAGTATTAGCTGGAGAATCACAGGTACCAGAAGATGATGAACCCAATTTTGGAGATTTTTGGGATTCACTCACCAGCATGATTGCCGACAAAATTGACAAAGAAAAAGATAAAAAAAGAAAGGCAAAGCATGATGCGCTTTGTTTCCCACTAACCGCTGGCACAAATAGACAAAATCAGTACATCAATTTCCAGAAAAGCAGATATTCTATCTGCCAACCAGTTAGCTACCGACAAAATAAAGATAAGGATGATGTATTACAATCATACCAGCTTAACTTGAGGATAAGGACGATTGACTCCAACCATTCAGGACCCGCCACCTATCTCAACCTTATCTTATCATTTTCTTTTCTGTATTATAAAAAGGAAGGACCTCACCCTTGTTGAGGCAAAGTTTTCCAAGTTTGTTTTATTTTTAGTCGTTTTAAAGTATCTGTGCTTTCCCTCTCTCATCTCGTAAACATTTCTCCAATATATAAATTAAGTGTTGAAGAATTAAACTAGGGGGATGCACCAATAAATCCCAAATTAATAACTTATACACTGTTTAGTCCTAAAAGTTTTCTTATAGACTAAAAGGTCCCATTACAATGTTTCAAACATCAGATTAATGTTTCGAACATTACATTTCGAACATCAGATTAATGTTTCGAGCATTAGATTTCAAACATCAGATTAATGTTTCAAACATTAGATTGATGTGCAAATGGGACTAAATGGAGCATAAGAAAACTTTTAGGACTAAATGGTTCAAGTTTTCAGAAACTAGGACTTATGGGTAAATTTTCCATTAAACTACTTTGAAGATTGTGATTGCAAATATTCCTTTCATTAATGTATGCCCTTTGTAGATATACTTGTTGATTTATTAAATGTTTTAGAATTTTATATTACAAGTCATATTAATTATTTAAGTTTTCTCCAAGATCCATATCTTCAGTTGTGGGCTACACAACAGGTAGAATTTTGTGAACAACAAATACACAGAATCCAACAGCAAATACAGGAACATATCTGTGTGTGGGCGGCCGCCGCTAGGCCTCCACCCCAACAGTAAATCATGAGGCCATATATGTCATAATTTGCTTATTATATACTTGTATTACGTGTATTTATATTCCCGGGTTTGTCCAAATAAGGGTAGAATGGAGTTAGGAGAAGTGGGACGTCACCCAAGTCGCGTTTAGGTTAGTCCACCAGAAGGGATTGCATGTAGGACCCTTATACCTTATAAACAGTTGACAAACGTGCTTAGCCTAGCCCCACACACATGATTGGTTTCTCTCAAACATATTTTTTAAATTTTTTCTCCAAAAACAATTGCTTTTGGACCTAAACTATTATCTTTTGGGTCCAGACTGTCTCCATTGGGGACAGTCCAGTACAATTCGGCCAATTGGGCCCACTTTTGGGTCCCTTTTTGATAATTAGAATCGTTCACATTTAAAATTTATTGAGTATATTAATTCTGTAAAAAAAATTTATCCAACGTGCTAGACTCATATGGGAACAACATATAAAAATTTCATAATTTTCTGAGATCGAGAACTATTTTTAAAAAATACAAAACTGAACTGTTTTTGCACAGAATTTACACTGCAATCAAATTCGAAAACTTGCTCAATTAAATTATGCACTGACTATATAAAAAATAAAAAAAAATAAAAATTGGGTCATTACACATGTGAAGAGTACCACTACTTCAGGTACCAAACCCGTGACCAACTCTGCCTTTGAACCTGAAAGCTTGTTACATGAGCTGGCCACCACTATCCCAACCAGCTCCTGTCCTATCCTTCCTTTATCACCACATCTTCTTAAGGCCCAAGAAGCTTATAATCCCATCCCCTCTTCTGTAAACTCTTCAACTAAGAAAAAACTACCAGATCCTAAACCTAAGCCACCACAGTACCAAAATAGAAATAGAGAATTTGGAAGTTCAGATGATCGAGATGACACACAGTGCAGTGGGCTCATACCTCGAACCCGCGAGCGAAGCAATTGTACCAAGTAAGCATCGTTTGGTGGATAGAAGAAATCAGGCTAAACTTAGAGCCCAGACGGTTGAGCGCAGCTGGCCGACCACTTCAAGCAACGCAGATGGTAGCCCTGAGGTCAACTGCGTTGAGCCAAACTCTCGTGCGTAATATGGTTGGTTTAAGCCATTTAAAACCGTTACTACACCGTCCCAGTTGTCCATCAATGAATGTCATAGTATGGAACTGCCGGGGAGCTGACAACAAAATCTTCAGAAGGAACTTCAGAGAAATCATCAGAACTCATAGACCAGATGTGGTGGCCCTTTTTGAAACCAAAGTTTTGTTCAATTCTATAGGACTCTTTTTCAACGACCTAGGGTATACTGCTTCTACAATTGTGGACCCTGTGGGTTGTGTTGGAGGCATTTGGTTTCTCTGGAATCCTATTCAAGTCTTAGTTAGTGCCCATATTGCTAACCACCAAGTGATTCAAGCCATGGTCCAAAGGAAAAATTATGAGGACTGGGTGTTGGGTGTAGTTTATGCAAGCCCCAACATCAGACTCCGCCAAAATCTTTGGCACGAGTTGGAAGACACAGCCAGCTCTATGACCAAGCCCTGGCTCCTTACTGGGGATTTTAATGAAATTAGTAGCAACCATGAAAGGAGGAGCTTCACCCCGTCTAATCAACAGACTCGAAGTCGCAGATTCTTAGACCAAATCAACCTGTGTGGTCTCATGGATCTTGGTTGCACAAGACCTAAACTCACCTGGATAAACAATAGGAAAGGACTTTCTAATACTATAGAACGTTTGGATCGTGCACTGTGCAATGCTGAATGGTGCACCCTCTTTCCAGATGGTACAGTGCAGAATCTCCGTCGGACCTACTCTGATCATTCTCCTCTCATTGCCTACACTGAAGGTATCTCTAAACTTTCTCCTTGTAATCGTCCTTTTCGTTTCGAGGCAGCTTGGCTTTCACACCCTCAGTACAGAGATGTGATCTATTCCTCTTGGGATCATAATCAATCTCTAAGTACTAATTTATTGCAAGTTGCTAATGATTCCCTTATTTGGAATAAGGAAATCTTTGGTAATATCTTTAAAAGCAAAAGGTGTCTTCTATCTCGCATTGAAGGAATTCAAAAAGCTCTTGCTAACCACTTTTCCCATAACCTGTTTTTACTGGAAAAAGACCTTATTCGTCAATTTAATAAAACCCTTTTGCAAGAGGAGATCCTTTGGTTTCAAAAATCTAGAGTTAATTGGATTACTCAAGGCGAAAGAAACACCAAATATTTTCATGTGTTTACTATCACCAAATGTAAGAGAATTAAAATTGATTCCCTACTGTATGATACTGGTAACTGGATAATGGAAGCCCAAGCTATCAAAACTCACATCCAAGATTACTTTATAGCTTTGTTCCAGGCTGTTCCTACTGTTAAACTTAGCCATTGGAATAATATTGCTACTCACACCTTTTCACCTAAAGAAAATCACAGGCTCACTAGGGATTTAACTAATTATGAGATTTGGAAAGCCACTAAGCATATTAATGCCTTCAAAGCTCCTAGCAGGGATGGTTTCCAGGCCATCTTTTACCATAAATTTTGGGACATAATTGATCAGGATGTTTGTGCCTTTATCAAAAGTTGTTTTCTTGAAAAGGCTATACCCCCTGAAATCAATAGAACCCTCATTGCCCTTATACCTAAGTCTGATAACCCTGAAACCATTAAGCAATTTCGCCCTATTAGCCTTTGCAATGTGTCTTACAAAATTTTAACCAAAATTCTTGTCACCAGACTTTGCCCCCTTCTTCATAATCTTATCAGTCCTAACCAAAGCAGTTTTCTCTCTGGCCGGTCGACCCATGACAATATCATTTTAACCCAAGAATTAATCCATACCCTTCATCATAGGAAAGGTCAACATGGTGGCCTTATTCTTAAATTAGATCTTGAAAAATCCTATGATAAAATTTCTTAGGATTTTCGTAGAGATACCCTTTAGGAATTTAATTTGAATTCTCACTGGATTGATCTTATTATGTCCTATGTTACTTCCATTAGATCCTCTTTATTTTGGAATGGGGAAACCTTGGATGAATTCACGCCTGACAGAGGCTTAAGACAGGGTGATCATTTATCTCCTTACTTATTTGTTCTTTGTATGGAAAGATTGTCCAATATGATTACATACAAAGTGGAGAAAAAACAATGGAAGGGTCTTAAAGTAGCTCGAGAGGGCCCATCTATATCACACTTGTTCTTTGTTAATGATCTCCTTCTATTTGCACAAGCTGACCAACTTAACTGTGAGACCATTATGTGTACCATCAATGAATTCTGTCTCATCTCTGGTCAGCAACTTAGCCTGCACAAATCAAAAATGTTTATCTCTCCAAATGTGAGTAGTAGAAAGGCAAAAGAATTGAGTAAGTTTTGTGGGATCAGTCCTACTAAAAATCTGGGCAAGTACTTGGGAGTCCCTCTTCTTCACAGTAGAATTCGGAGGAGTATGTTTAATGACATCATGAAAAAAGTTCAAAACAAACTATCCACCTGGAAAGCCAATACCCTCTCCCTAACTGGCAGAACTACCCTTATTCAATCTGTGCCCTCAGCCATACCATCTTATATCATGCAAACTACTAAACTCCCTCAAAGTGTGTGCCATCACCTTGATAAACTTAACAGAAACTTCCTTTGGGGAGACCTTCCTGGCAAGAGGAAAGTCCATCTTGTTAATTGGAGACAAGTCTGTAAGAGTAAACAAGAGGGAGGCCTTGGCATCAAAAGAGCTGAAGACTATAATCTAGCACTTCTAACTAAGCTTGGTTGGAAATTAATCAGTGACAAGGACACTCAATGGTCTGCTGTCCTCAGAGGTAAGTATCTTTACAAAGAATCATTGATGGATTGGCCTAGTAACAGACTGGCTTCTTACACTTGGAGAAGCATCATTAAAACCAGGGATCTTCTGAAAAAAGGTGTGAAGTGGTCAGTTGGTAATGGTCAGAATATATCCTTCTGGAATGACTAGTGGTATGGAGAGACTACAATTGCATCTCAATGCCCAGGCGACCATACCTCTAACTATTTGAAAGTGGTTGAGGTTATTAAGGAAGATGGGTCTTGGAACCTTGATTCACTTACTGAGTTCATCCCTCAGTCCATTCTACTTGACATATCCCAAATCCATCTACCCCAATTTGTTGAGGCACTTGATAACCCCACTGGACAGGAGCTCCTTCTGGTAACTTCACTGTTAGTGCTGCTTATGACCTCCTAACAAATTTGGATCAGGATAGTGATAATGTCAGCTGGCATTGGATCTAGAAACAAAAAATACCTCAAAAACTTAAGGGCTTCTGCTGGTTTCTCTTTCATGAGAAAATTTTGACCGACTATCATAGAAAAATTAGAGGCTTGACCATGGATGACAGTTGTCCCAGGTGTAATTTAGCTCAAGAAGACTTATGCCACCATTTTAAAGACTGTCCTAAATCTATGGAAGTTTGGCTTGCTATTTGTAGCCATAGCTGGCTGCAGATCAGTGTATATCAATCTTGGAATCAGTGGCTCCAAATTAATTTGAGATGCTAGGAGAAAAAAATTTATCAAGTCCCTTGGAGTATTGTATTTTTGTCTGCTGTGTGGAAAATCTGGAAAGATAGAAACACTCTTGTTTTCAGGAATGAAGAATGCAATGTCTAAAAACATCATAAATATCACACTTTTAGAGTCTTAAATCCCAAAATCATTCTATAATCTCAACTTAATAATTCACACCATATTCATCAATATCAATTTATTTTTCTTCTCAAAAATAAATTCCAAAACTCAAAGATGAGATAAATATTTCAACATTATTTTCCTAAAATAAATTATCTAACCATAGTATGAGGTAGATACAACTCATACAACTATTTATTTTCTTTTATTTTGATTTTTAACAAGTATTTCCAACACAAGATGATTTTTCCAAATCAATTTCAAAATAACTATATTCTTAACATTTCAACATGATTTCTTTTCCAAAAATTACCAAACAAAAATCTGAAAAAAAATATAGGTAATGCCTCCTATGAATATATATTTTCTCAAAATAACCCTAACATATTTTTAATGTAATAATATAAAGAAAGTCCCTACTTTAAATAATGAATAAGAGTAGATTTGGAAGGCAAATCTTACCCGATCATGAATCCGAGACTACCATTGCGAAGATCACGACGAGCTCTCCGACTTTCATTTACAAAACTTTTGCAAAATCTCACTCTAAAGACTCCCACTCAAAGCTCAGAGCTTGAGCAATCATGGAAAATAAAGAAAGGGAGAGAGACGGACAGAGGGGCTGCTCAACCAAAATAAAATATAGATGAAGAATGATGCAAGTGATGGGGATGAGGAAAAGATGGAAAGAAAGAGACAGCCCACATCCCACATGGCTTCGTCCCTATGCACGTTTTCCCAAAATTTATTTATATAATTTTTTTTTTGTATTATTCAACCCATTAACTGGTACAATATATATATTGTAATAATATTTTAAAATTTTGTAACACAAATCATAAAATGATATAATTTTTCTCACCACAAAATATAACATTTTTGCACACTACAAAATATAATGTTTTATTCATTATGAAATATACATCCATTTTATTCACCACAAAAATATATAATTTTTCACCATATGGTACACACATAAAATCAACTATCAAATATTTATTATAATCCTATATAATAAATAATAACAACTCTCAAGGTGGTTATTACCAATCACATAATTAAAAAGGACCAAACAGTTAAACATGAGTCATTAAACAAATTCAAATTAAATTAAATCTAAGCCATGGGTCTTGATTAAATTCCCACCCATAAGCCAAACATGGCCCAATTATATACCAAAATAGACCCAACAAATTTATCTCAAATCCTGATCCGAACATCCAAAACTCAATTTCAAATTCTGCTATAAATTAAATTGAACACCAATCAGTCCATGAATTTTCATAAAATAAATACTCATCATTTAATTCTAAAATTTTCATCCAACGTGCTAGACTCATATGGGAACAACATATAAAAATTTCATAATTTTCTGAGATCGCGAACTATTTTTACAAAATACAAAATTGAACTATTTTTGCACAGAATTTACACAGCAATCAAATTCGAAAACTTGCTCAATTAAATTATGCACTGACTATATAAAAAATAAAAAAATAAAAATTGGGTCATTACACATGTGAAGAGTACCACTACTTCAGGCACCAGACCCGTGACCAACTCTGCCTTTGAGCCTGAAAGCTTATTACATGAGTTGGCCACCACTATCCCAACTAGCTCATGTCCTATCCTTCCTTTATCACCACATCTTCTTAAGGCCCAATAAGCTTATAATCCCATCCCCTCTTCTGTAAACTCTTCAACTAAGAAGAAACTACCAGATCCTAAACCTAAGTCACCACAGTACCAAAATAGAAATAGAGAATTTGGAAGTTCAGATGTCCGAGATGACACACAGTGCAGTGGGCTCATACCTCGAACCCGCGAGCGAAGCAATTCACCAAGTAAGCATCGTTTGGTGGATAGAAGAAATTAGGCTGAACTTAGAGCCTAGATGGTTGAGCGCAGTTGGCCGACCACTTCAAGCTGCGCTGAGCCAAACTCTCGTGCGTAATATGGTTGGTTTAAGCCATTCAAAACCGTTACTACACAGTCCCAGTTGTCCATCAATGAATGTCAAGGTATGGAACAGCCGGGGAGCCGACAACAAAATCTTCAGAAGGAACTTCAGAGAGATCATCAGAACTAATAGACCAGATGTGGTGGCCCTTTTTGAAACCAAAGTTTTGTTCAGTTCTATAGTACTCTTTTTCAACAACCTAGGGTATACTACTTCTACAATTATGGACCCTGTGGGTCGTATTGGAGGCATTTGACTTCTCTGGAATCCTACTCAAGTCTCAGTTAGTGCCCATATTGCTAACCACCAAGTGATTCAAGCCACGGTCCAAAGAAAAAATTATGAGGACTGGGTGTTGGGTGTAGTTTATGCAAGCCCCAACATCAGACTCTGCCAAAATCTTTGGCACGAGTTGGAAGACACAGCCAGCTCTATGACCAAGCCCTGGCTCCTTGCTGGGGATTTTAATGAAATTAGTAGCAACCATGAAAGGAGGAGCTTCACCCCGTCTAATCAACAAACTCGAAGTCGCAGATTCTTAGACCAAATCAACCGGTGTGGTCTCATAGATCTTGGTTACACAGGACCTAAACTCACCTGGACGAACAATAGGAAAGGACTTTCTAATACTATGGAACGTTTGGATCATGCACTGTGCAATGCTGAATGGTGCACCTTCTTTCCAGATGGTACAGTGCAGAATCTCCCTCAGACCTACTCTGATCATTCTCTTGTCATTGCCTACACTGAAGGTATCTCTAAACTTTCTCCTTGTAATCGTCCTTTTCGTTTCGAGGCAACTTGGCTTTCACACCCTCAGTGCAGAGATGTGATCTATTCCTCTTGGGATCATAATCAATCTCTAAGTACTAATTTATTGCAAGTTGCTGATGATTCCCTTATTTGGAATAAGGAAATCTTTGGTAATATATTTAAAAGAAAAATGTGTCTTTTATCTCGCATTGAAGGAATTCAAAAAGCTCTTACTAACCACTTTTCCCACAACTTGTTTTTACTGGAAAAAGACCTTATTTGTCAATATAATAAAACCCTCTTGCAAGAGGAGATCCTTTGGTTTCAAAGATCTAGAGTTAATTGGATTACTCAAGGCGAAGAAACACCAAATATTTTCATGTGTCTACTATCACCAAACAGAAGAGACTTAAAATTGATTCCTTAAGGTCTGATACTGGAAAATGGATAATGGAAGCCTAAGCTGTCAAAACACACATCCAAGATTACTTTATAGCTCTGTTCCAAGCTATTCTAATCGTTAAACTTAGCCACTGGAATAATATTGCAACTCACACCATTTCATCTGAAAAGAATCACAAGCTCACTAGGGGTTTAACTAATCATGAGATTTGGGAAGCCACTGAGCATATTAATGCCTTCAAAGCTCCTGGCAGGGATGGCTTTTAGGCCATCTTTTACCATAAATTTTGGAACATCGTTGGTCAGGATGTTTGTGCCTTCATCAAAAGTTGTTTTCTTGAAAAGGCTATACCCCCAAAAATCAATAGAACCCTCATTGCCCTTATACCTAAGTCTGATAACCCTGAAACCATTAAGCAATTTCGCTCTGTCAGCCTTTGCAATGTGTCTTACAAAATTTTAACCAAAATTCTTGTCACTAAACTTCGTCCCCTTCTTCATAATCTTATCAGTCCTCACCAAAGCAGTTTTCTCCCTGGCCGGTCAACTCATGACAATATCATTATAATCCAAGAGTTAATCCATACCCTTCATCATAGGAAAGGTCAACATGGTGGCCTTATTCTTAAATTAGATCTTGAAAAAGCCTATGATAAAATTTCTTGGAATTTTCTTAGAGATACCGTTCAGGAATTTAATCTGAATTCTCACTGGATTGATCTTATTATGTCCTGTGTTACTTCCATTAGATCCTCTTTACTTTGGAATGGGGAAACCTTGGATGAATTCACACCTGGCAGAGGCTTGAGACATGGTGATCCTTTATCTCCCTACTTATTTGTTCTTTGTATAGAAAGATTGTCCAATATGATTAGATACAAAGTGGAGAAAAAACAGTGGAAGGGTCTTAAAGTAGCTCGAGAGGGCCCATCTATATCACACCTATTCTTTGTTGATGATCTCCTCCTATTTGCTCAAGCTGACCAACTTAACTGTGAGACCATTATGTGTACCATCAATGAATTTTGTCTCATCTCTGGTCAGCAACTTAGCCTTTACAAATCAAAAATGTTTATCTCTCCAAATGTGAATAGTAAAGGCAAAAGAATTGAGTCAGTTTTGTGGGATAAGTCTTACTAAAAATCTGGGCAAGTACCTGAGAGTCCCTCTTCTCCACAGTAGAATTCAGAGGGGTATGTTTAATGACATCATGGAGAAAGTTCAAAACAAACTATCCACTTGGAAAGCCAATACCCTCTCCCTAGCTGGCAGAACTACCCTTATTCAATCTGTGACCTTAGCCATACCTTCTTATATTATGTAAACTACTAAACTCCCTTAGAGTGTGTGCCAACACCTTGATAGACTTAACAGAAACTTCCTTTGGGGAGACCTTCCTGGCAAGAGAAAAGTCCATCTTGTAAATTGGAGACAAGTCTACAAAAGTAAATAAGAGCTTGGCATCAAAAGAGCTGAAGACCACAATCTAGCACTTCTAACTAAGCTTGGTTGGAAATTAATCAGTGACAAGGACACTCAATGGTCTGCTATCCTCAGAGGAAAGTATCTTCACAAAGAATCATTGATGGATTGGCCTAGTAACAGATTGACTTCTCACACTTGGAGAAGCATCATCAAAACCAGGGATTTTCTGAAAAAAGGTGTGAAGTGGTCAGTTGGTAATGGCCAGAATATATCCTTCTGGAATGACTGGTGGTGTGGTGAAACTACTATTGCATCTCAATGCCCAGGCGACCATACCTCTAACTGTTTGAAAGTTGCAGAGTTTATCAAGGAAGATGGGTCTTGGAACCTTGATTCACTTATTGAGTTCATCCCACAATCCATTCTACTTGACATATCCCAAATCCATCTACCCCAATTTATAGAGGTACTTGATAACCCCCACTGGACAAAAGCTCATTCTGGTAACTTCACTGTTAGTGCTGCTTATGACCTCCTAACAAATTTGGACCAGGATAGTGATAATGTCAGCTAGCATTGGATCTGGAAACAAAAAATCCCTCAAAAACTTAAGGGCATCTGCTAGTTGCTCTTTCATGAGAAAATTTTGACCAACTCTCATAGAAAAATTAGAGGCTTCACCATGGATGATAGTTGTCCCAGGTGTAATTTAGCTCAAGAAGATTTATGCCACATTTTTAAAGACTATCCTAAATCTAAAGAAGTTTGGCTTGCTATTCGTAGCCATAGCTGGCTGCAGACCAGTGCACATCAATCCTGGAATCAGTGGCTCCAAATTAATTTGAAATGCCAGGAGAAAAAAATTTATCACGTCCCTTGGAGTATTGTATTTTTGTTTACTGTGTGGAAAATCTGGAAAGATAGAAACACTCTTGTTTTTAGGAATGAAGAATTCAGTGTCTATGAAGCCATCAGATACATTCAACAACAAGCCACTGACATTTATGAAGCATTCAAATCTGATCACCTTACTAGTCAACTTCTACAAAACAAAACTAATTGGGCTTTGCCTTTTGTAGGTACAATTAAACTTAACATTGATGGATGCTCAAAAGGCAACCCTGGACCAGCTGGTTATGTAGGCCTATTTAGGGATGAGAGAGGAACTTGGAGACTGGAGAAAACCATTAGCTTGGAAGTAGAGTTGTGGGGAGCGTATAGGGGTCTCACTATCATATTAGAGAAAGGATTGAAAGACATTACGGTTGAGACTGATTTTGTGCAAGTTATTAAACTCATTCAAGAAGAATCTAGCCCAAACTTTCAGCGTAGGGCCCTCTTTGAAGATGCAAAGTTCCTGACGCAGAGGTGCAAATGCACCATCCAACACATCCCTAGAGAAGGCAACAAAGCTGCTGATGGCTTAGCTAATTTAGGAGTTCAACACCAAGAATCTTTTGTTTTTTTGAATGACCCTCCTACTGAGGTTGCAAGTCTGCTTGTTGCAGATATTCTAGGCACCTCCTCTGTGTAATTTAAGGCTTCATGCCCTAACTCTTTGTCTTTATTTCTTTTGAATCGAAAAAAAGAAATATATATATATATATATAGTCTATATTTGTTAGCAGCCTGGACCAATGTGATATATGTGCAACTTGGAAAAAAAAAATATATGTCATGGGTTCAAGGCCTGTCCTCCTTTTTGCATAAGTGTCAATTAATGTGTTTGGTTTCAGTTTTCTAAAAATTGAGTTTTTTATTTTTCGTGTTTTTTTATTTTTAGTAAATATTTTTAGAATTTTAAGCAATAGTTTTACTTTTTTAGATGCACCTTACTTAGATGTGTCTAAAAAGTAAAATATTTGTGAAAAAATATTTCAAAAAATTAATAAATACATAAAAATACAAACTATATACTGAATTTTCATATTTTTTTTTTGTATTTTTGATATTTAGTGAATTTTTTAAAGATTTTTTTTCAAGAAAATTATACTTTTTAAGTATATTTATGTTAAGTGTGTCCAAAAATTTTAAAAAAAAATTGTTTAAAATATTAAAAAAAAATCAGTAAAAAAAAAAATACAGAAACCTATGAAAAATGTTTTTAGAAAACCCAAACCAAACAAAGTGAATATCACCAGCAATCTTCACTTTATATATTAGAATAGATAGAAGATATATATATGTGTGTGTGTGTACATTGAATCAAAATTATAGACCTGGGATGAATTGAAGCTTTCGTGGATTGATTGAAGGAGTGGAAGAGAAGAGATAAGGGACGAGGGTTATTGGTGACGAAGGCAGTTGCTAATTGTGGTAGTAGGCCGATTGGTTGTAGAGAAGGAAACGGGAGAAGGGGGTGAAAGTGAGAAGAAGACAGAAAGAGCAGCGACTGAACAAACAAGTCTGATGTGCAATGGTGAAGAAGATGAATAGAATGGTAAAGAGGGGGGAATGAGTTGCTTGTTTATTAAGTTAGTTGGTGTTTGGTTATCAAAATATAGGGTATTGTGTTAGATTAATTATGTTTGGTTACAAAGATAAAAGACATATGGACAAAAATGTATTCAGTGTGTTTGGTTTTAGTTTTTTGAAAATTGAGTTTTTTGCTTTTCGTGTTTTTTATTTTTTATTTATTAGTGAATATTTTTAAATTTTTAAGTAATTTTTTTTTTTACTTTTTTAGATGCACCTTACTTAGATATATCTAAATAGTAAAATATTTGTAAAAAAA